TTTGGAGTTAACATTAACGAGAGGAGCTAGCATCAGCAGTAGTGACCGTTACCATTAGCAAGAAGTAGTAGATATTAGCATTACAAAAACTGGAAGTTAGTCAAATCAAAATAGTTAGCAGCAGAAAAAGTGGACAATAGCATTAGCAAGGGCAGTTAGCAGGAGCAAAATTGGAGGTCAGCGTTTGAAAGAACAGTTAGCATCAATGAAGTTTGGAGTTAGCAATATCGAGAGCAGTTAGCATCAGCAGTAGTGAGTGTTACCATTAACAAGAGCAGTTAGCAGCAAAAAAAAGTAGTCAATGTTAGCATTACAAAACCGGAAGTTAGTCAAAGCAAAAGTAGTCAGCAGCAGCAAAAGTGAATGTTAGCATTAGCAAGGGCAGTTAGCAGGAGCAAAATTGGAAGTTAGCATTTGAAAGAATGGTTAGCAGGGTTTGTGTGTGTTAGCCTACTAGATGCTAATTTGTTGAAGACCTTCTCAACGTCTGTGTTTGGTTTTTGAATTTAGAATTTATTTTGTTGTTGCACGTATAACATTTATCAAGACAGCAGCTAAAACACGGACGTAATCATCAGCACACTGCATCCGCTGCTGATTTACAGTTTCTCCACCTGCAGTGTTTGTTTTGTGGTTGTAGGTTAACGAGTTAGCGGCTTCTAATTCAGCACACACACACACAAACACAGTCATATAGTGTATATTCAGGACTACCTAGGAGGCTTCTCACTTACACACACACACAAGTCATTTTCTGAAGCATATAATAACAGTTTGGGAGCTTGTTCACACTTCCAAACGTATGTTGGCCCTCCAAACAAAAGGCATAAACAATAATTTGAATAAATGGAGGTAATTTCCTGCAGCAGAATGTCTAATCAGAGCGTATTCTGCTGGAGGACGGCAACACAGGGCGAGTGTGTGTGTCGGAGTGTGTGCGTGCGAAGAAAAGGCGAGAGAGATTCAGAAATAAATTCAGAGAGAGACAGAAAAAGAGGAAAACCGTGTCCCAAACTACCCATCATGCCTTGCCAAGCCTGCTGGCCAACTAAAAAAACACTCAGTCCATCTGCGCCCGCTGAGAGCCTCTCGTACCTCCAAAACATTTACAAAATACCCGCTAACAACCCATTCATTACTCTTTGTCTCTGCTCTGGTGTTTATCTCCATCCCCTCTTCTCGCTCGCTCCATCTCCGGATAGTTAAAGGAAAACTCTGGTGGTATTCAATGTTTTTCTTGTCGGCAGCTCGGAGCCAACACTGCATGTAAACACTGACAGCTACTGTGCGTAAATCAGAGCCTAATATATCTTATTCCTCCATCCTGCCCATCCAAATACTCCCCACAGCACCAAATGTGGATTAAACAGTCCGCCATAAACGCACCGTTTTATTAGAATCTATGGTGTCCAACTGTTTTAGGAGCTCACTGAGCCACGCTTACTCCTGAGGCCAGTTCATGGTTATCACATCCTTCCATCCATTCATTTTCTCATCCAGACTCTGTCTCCGTGGCAGCAGACTAAGCAGGTCATTCCAGACAACCCTCCCTCCAGCGGTGCTTTCCAGTTCCTCCTGGGGGATGTCAACGGGTTGCCAGACCACATGAGATATGCCTTCCCTCCAGAGGGTTCTGGCTCTCCTCTGAGCGGAAAACCTCCAAAGGAAGGTGCTCAGGAGGACCCTAATCAGATGTTGGATCACCTAAACCGGCTCCTTTTAACATGAAGAAGCAGTGATTCTCAGGATGTCTGAGCTCCTCACCCTCTCTCTAAGGCTCAGCCCAGACACTCTGTGGAGGAAACTTATTCCAGGCCCTTTGTATCTGCGACCTCCCTCTTTTAGTCATTACCCAAAGAGTGAGACACTGTAGGTGAGGAATGGAGTGCAGCACTTGCAGTACTGATGAAGCCGCCCCAATCCATCAGTCTACCGCATCTTTTTTTTCACGTCACTCTTCAACAAGATTCTGAGACCCTTGAACTCCTTTGTTTGGAGCAGCAACTCACCTAGAAGGAGTGTTGCCTGTTTCCTTCAGAGAACCGTGGCCTCTGAGATGGTCGGAGCTTCCCCAACCGGAGACCCTTCTCACCCATTATCACAGGATCAGAGACAAGGAGAAACCCAGCAGAGCCCAGCGCCCACCGGAAACACATCTGACTTTTGTCTGAGAATACAAACACAGATCTAACTGTGGCTGTACAAGGCCAGCTGGGTTGTAACCCTCCACAGGGTTCCCTGGGGGACAAGGACACTGGCTTTCTCCAAGTACACAATACGTGGACTGGATGGTAAACTCCCATGATCCCCTTCAGCTCCGCAAAGGGTGGAGAGCAGATTCACCATTTCAAGGCCACGACAGAATCATTTATCGTCTTGGATCAGGGATTCACCAGTCAGTCAGAGCCTCCCTTTCAGTACTTCACCGTGGAGGATGAGTGGGGGATGATTGGAAGAAACCCTTTGGTCCTCTTGTTTGAAAATGGGAACCAGCATTCTGGTCTGCCGCTCCACAGCCACCGTCCCTGACCTCCATATGACCCTGAAGAGGCATGTCGGCCAAGACGACCCAAAGACACTTTTGGTCTGTTAATCCACATCCCATCTTACTTTGGATAATACAACTCCTTTGCATGTGGAAGCAGGTCAGCCCAAATGACTGAGTTCATCCTTGGACCCTTGAGTCAACTTATGTTCCTTTTCAGCCAAACAGTCAATTACAAATAAGGAGGCACTTGTCACCCTGGTAATCCAGAAAATGGACAAGCTTCAAACATGTACGGGAAGGACTGTATTTGAACAACAACCGGGAAGTTTTTCCTCAACCTAACAAATTCATTTTGGTGCTTAAGCTTAACCAAGCTTCTGATTTGGAACAGTGGTATTTTCTTAAACCTAACCACGTAGTTTCAGAAATGGAAACTTAAGTCTGAAGTCGCCCATCATGGGATGCAAACCGTGTTCTGCTGTGTTCACCAACTTCTCCGTCTGACTCCTAACGCTGATCCTCTTTCAAACTGGCTGCGTTTCCAAACACATCGCAGGAGATGAATTACGTTTATTTCAGTGGCTGCTTGTGCTTATATTCCACATGCAGTCCAACACTTGAGACTCAGTGGACGGTCTTCACAGCAGCACAGCAACAACACACTTGTCTTGTGCACCTTCTGTACGTCGTGATGTTTGCATTGTATTCCACATCCTCGGCTGTGGTTAGACAACGTGTTCTCATGTTCATGATATCCTGCAAGAATCCCCGTCCACATCCAAGTCCATTCAGTTTTCACCACTTTGTAGCTGACAGTTGGTTTCTGGTGGACGTTTGTGGTTTACTTCTGAGCCCAAAAGTGAAACTGACCGGTCTACGCTTCCACAGTGACTCGACCTGAGGAGGACCGATGTGTAACTGAGTCTCTACAGCTAATTAACCCACACAGCTTTCCACATGCCAGTCATTTCAGAAATGTGCACACAGGCTTCATGTTTTTGATTTTTGTCTTTACGTCACTTGTGAGTGCAGAAGAAATTTGTGTTTTTCACTTTTTAAACCTGCAAAAACTGCTTTTTTCTTCCACTTGTTGGCATCAGGAACAAGCGCTGAACATCACATGGATGTATCGAGTTAAAACCATAACCCTGACTTCGTAGCAGTGGCTGCTTGTGTAGCCACATACTTGGGTTCCTTAGTCCATCTAGACCCTCTCTGAGCTGTAGTTTTGTTGGTTTTCAGAGTTTTTGACTGAGCGTGATGCTGTTCGAGCAGTGACAGTGAACCAGAACAGTAAAGTCGGAGCCGAGCAGCTGAACAATAAGCTGAAACTCAGAATAATGTCCGTCGAGCTGCAGATTCAGCTGGTGTCTTTCACTGCGCTGCGCTGTTTCCACATTCATGCATTATTTTAAAAACAGCCGGTTGCTTCTTTCTGTGGTGTTATGAGTGTCTCAGCAGGACCTATCAGTGCTGCCAGCGCGTCCCGCTGGGTTTTTATGCAAACAGCTGGAGGATGTTTGGGCTCAGATGGCCGCTGTGGCCACCGGCCCAGTCACCCCACGTCAGCAGCTGCTCGTCGCTTTAAAACATGGAAAACAGTCATAAATGTGGAAAAGACACGACTCCACAGATTGGTTTGTGGGCGCTGCAGCAAAGTTTATCGTACTGGATTGTCGTTTGACTATATTTGTTCACTTTTGGTTTGCTCTGATTTTTTGAAAAAGCCTTTAAAACTTTCTTTTCAAGTGAAGAAGTCAACTTCTGCCTGAGCTCCTTTCAGATACTTCGTTATCCTGAAACTGAAACTTAATACATTGAAATGACACTTCAAGCCGCTTCATGCTCACATGTTAACGGACGCTTCAGTTCCTTCAAAAGTTAGACAGCAACTAACATCTCACCTCCTTCTAGCAGTTAAGCTTCGGCCTTACAAACACTTCGGCTTCTTTCACTGCTTACGTGTCTTTTGATGCTTTAACAAACCGTTTTCAGTGTAGGTGACATTTTAACCACTGATTCAACTTCTCTGTGAACTTTTGCTTTAATGACTACTTCAGTTCCTTTCAGAACTTTAGTGCTGATGCTTCGTTTTTACTCCTGAATTGACACTTCGTCTCCTTTTAGAACTTTCTGTTGACCTAAAGCCTCTTTGATACGAACAAATTGACTCTTCAAGCTGCTTCATGCTCACTTTTTAAATGACGCTTCAATTCCTTTAAACATTTACACAGCAACTGGCCACTTCTTTCAGCAGTTACCATGACATTCCAACTCCTTTCACTTGATGTTTACATTTCAAACTAAAACGTCAGCTCCTTTAGTGCTAAAATTTTATGGTATCTTTTCGGATAACTCTACCTTCTTCTCAGTGTGTCCTTTTTAACTGGCACTTCCACTTCCCATACTGTAGCTGGTGTAACTTCTCAGTAGTAATGCCGGACACCTGACACAACAAAATGTCTGGTTGCTGAGTTCACTCCTTTATGTGATATCCTGTGATTTTCTGCAGCTTCAGCCACAGTGGAGGACTTCCAGATCCGTCCACACTGCCTGTTTGTCCACTCGTACCGAGCTCCAGCCTTCTGCGACCACTGTGGGGAGATGCTGTGGGGACTCGTGCGACAAGGACTCAAATGTGAAGGTAAGAAGGCTTTTTGGCTTTTGAGGTCTGAATGCTCCAATAAAACAAAGTTTAAAATAAGATGGCGTCTTGTTTGTAGTCATATCTGGGTTCTTAAGTCCAGTCTTCACCCTCTTTTAGCTCCATTTTTGGTCCCCACCATCTCCTGATGAAAATAATCTCCTCTCTACCTGATAAATACTCCACTATGTCAACCAGTTTGTTTCTAATTGTGCTCGTCCAGTGGTTTGCTGTTGGGTTTTTAAGCTTTTTAAGTGCATTGAAAGGGAACCAGAGCAGTAACGTTGCAGCCGAGCAGCTGAACAATGAGCTGAAACTCTTTCTGCAGGTTGTGGCCTGAATTATCACAAGCGCTGTGCCTTTAAGATCCCCAACAACTGCAGCGGCGTGAGGAGGCGCCGGCCGTCCAACGTCTCCCTCACCGGCGGCATCATCAACATGGGTCGCCCTCTTTCTGCCGAGCCGTCGCCTCCACACTACACCGATGATGCTTTGCTGGTCAGTACATGGAGCATACAGAACGTCCTAAACATTCATCTGTGGTTAGCTCACTGTCTGAAGTCACCAGAAACATAACTCTTTGTTCTTTCTCATTGTCCAGTCTCCAGTCAGCCCCAGTATGGAGGTAAGTCCCATCACTTTGATCCTTAGAAACCCCTTAACCTGCTGGTTTCTCTGGTAACCAACCATCGCAGTGCTTCTTTCTTATTTGTCCTCACAGCAGAAGAATCAATTGGACTACTTTCCCGGCAGGGAGCGGCGTTCCAGCTCCCAGTCGTACATCGGCCGTCCCATTGAGCTGGACAAGATCTTACTGTCGAAGGTCAAAGTTCCTCACACCTTCCTGATCCACTCGTACACCCGACCGACCGTCTGCCAGCACTGCAAGAAGCTGCTGAAAGGCCTCTTCAGACAGGGCCTGCAGTGCAAAGGTGAGCACCTGGACCACCACACGACCGCTCTGCACAAAATGCTCTTACATCAGGGCGTCTTTACTCATCTAACCCTAAAATATTTCTCATTTCTGTCTCAGATTGTAAATTTAATTGTCATAAACGATGTGCTCCAAAAGTGCCAAACAACTGCCTGGGAGAAGTTTCCAAAAACGGAGGCAAGTGTCAATACACTCAACAGAAATATGTTTGTACCACTGATCGTTGTGTGTAATTCAGCAGAAAGAAAGTTGAATGAAAAGGAAAAGGTTATTTTAAGAAAACGTGCTTGGAAGGTGGATAATAAAAGGTCGATGAATAAACTCAAACCAACAACGAAAACTAGACAAAGAAAGCAAAACAACCAAAGACACACAAGGGAAGTGATGTTAGCTATAAAAACAGCATGATAACGTTGACGCTAGCTGGCCTTAACGATCTATACTACCTGCATAAACCCAATCCAAAGCTCGACTTTCACCTTAAAATCAGGTCCAAACTTTTAAAAGGACCTTTGAAGAAGGAAAGATCAGACTCTCTTTCTTTAAGGATTAATATTTGGGGTATTTTACACCTTTATTTGGATTACTTTAAAGAGATTTAGCCAAGGGATATTGACACTGTTTACAACAAGGAGGAGTCGAGTCTTACTTTGATGGTTAACAAGCAAAATCTCAAACTAGCAAAATATATAAACCAAGATAACCTCATCAAAGTAGCAAGCTAAAATACAGTCGCTACCTTCCTAACTATTAAAACAGGAGAAAACTGTTAAACAAAAACAGCTGTCTACCTCTGCAAAACCCCACAAGTAACAAAACTACTTGTGCAATGCCAAGCTGTCAGTCAGACCATTTGGGAGGTGAATCGTCGTCCAGTTTCCTTATATATAGGGTTCTGTTCTATCCATGTTCTGTTTGGGCCAAACACTTCATACAAATAGAACCCAACAAAAGTGCTTTGCAAAACAAAACAAAAAAAATACCATAAACATTAAAAACAATGCTGTGGATCATCTTCCGTCATCCATAACTGTATGTCTGAAATACAGTTAAAAGGGAGAGGACCTAATATTGAACCTTGAGGAACACCATTAACACATTGTATTTCTTTTCAATGAACATTCATCCATACTTACAAGAAACACTCAGTAAGATGACACTTGAACCTATTAAAAAACAACCTCAGCAGTCATACGGGACCTCGGGTTTTTTACATGAGGGGGGTGGAGCTTATGACCTATACTGCGAGCAGCCGCCAGGGGGGCTATCCAGGTATTTTAGCATAATCTCTGGGAAGTTGTCATATCAGCCGTCTTTATACAAAGTCAGCAGTCCTCGTGATGAAAGAAGAAAAACAAGACCTTTTCCTCTGTGACCTCGCAGAGCTCCTGAGCCCGGGGGCGGAGTCAGATGTTGTCATGGTGGAGGGTTGCCTCGACGACCACGACGTCGACAGGGGGGGCGGCCTGATGGACGACATGGACGACGCTCTGACATCAGAGGGGGGTCTGCTGCTGGAGGCGGGGACAAGCGACCTCTGTGACCTGCACGACCCCGACCTGGACGAATCCAACCGCGCCATCAGGTAAACACACACACACAAAAAAACACAAACAAGCAAACACAGGCAGACAAAGGTCTGACCTTTGCCCCGCCCCCTGCAGCCCGTCCACCAGTAACAACATCCCGCTGATGCGAGTGGTCCAGTCTGTCAAACACACCAAGAGGAAGAGCAGCAACGTGATGAAGGAGGGCTGGATGGTCCACTACACCAGCAAGGACACTCTGGTACCTGTTCACCCGTTTGCCTGTTAACCTGCTCACCTGTTCACCTGTTCACTTGTTCACCTGTTAACCTATTTACCTGTTAATCTGTTCAGCCATTTATCTGTTCACCTGTTCACCTGTATACCTGTTTATCCATTTACCTCTTCACCTGCTTAAATGTTTACCTGTTCACGTTTGCCTGTTTACCTCTCTGTTTTCTTTTTCGTGTTTACCTGTCTGTTTACATCTTTACCTGTTCACCTGTCTGAGTCTCTTCACCTATATGTGCACATGCTAACCTGCTTAAATGTTTACATCTTACCTATTTACATGTTTACTACCTGTTGGCTGCCTCGTTGTTTACATGGCTACCTGTGCACATGTTCATTTATTTGTTTACGTGTTTACCTCTTTGTTTACATGTTTATCTGATTGTTTACGTGTCTACCTCTCTGCTTACATGTTTACCTTGTTGCATGTTTACCTGCCTGTTTACATTACCACCGCTGTGTTTACATGTTTACATCTCTGTTGTCTTTGTTTACATGTTTCCCTCCGTTCTGCTAGCAGCTACTAGCTGCAGACTTTGGTGCCGACTCGTCTCCACGTCTTCTCCCTCGGTGTCCTCCTGCCTCTGACCTCCTGCCGGCTCTTCTAACCTCTGCTGTCTGTGTTTCAGAGGAAGAGACATTACTGGCGGTTGGACAGTAAATGCATCACGTTGTTCCAGAACGACACGGGCAGTAAATACTACAAGGTAGGATGTCCTCCTGCAGCCGCGACGCTTTGCTGCTGCTTCAGGCTTCAGTGAACCACAAATACTAGAGTAGAGGTCAGAAACCAGCTGCGTTCCTCAGTGCTTCTGTTTTAGAGTTTCTAACATGACTTTGGGAGTTTGTTTGGTTTTACTGCATTTTTATTTCTGTAAATCACTTTGTGTTGCATCTTATTTGATGATTGATTAAAGACACAACAGAAGAAGTAGAATGAGGATACAAATGAAGGCGCAGCAAGGACTGAATGTGGACGTCTGACATGATGAAGCCACGTCAGGATGAACTGTCACATTCATCCTGAGCAGCTTCTGTTGTTCCACTGAAGAGTGACTCTGTGTGTCTGCAGGAGATCCCTCTGTCCGAGATCTTGTCCCTGGAGCCGGCCCAGACCTTCTCTCTGCTGCCCGATGGAGCCAACCCTCACTGCTTCGAGATCGCCACGGCGACGCTGGTCTATTACGTTGGAGAGAATCTGCAGAGATCTGATTCGTCGGTGACAAGCAGCAGCATCCTGGTGAGACGTGAAGCGTCGTCCAGCCGTGGCACACAAACATCACGTCTGCTTTTTTTCATAATATTATGGGGTGGCTGTGGCTCAGGTGGGGCAGCAGGTTGTCCTCTAAGGTTGGTGGTTCGATGCCCTCCACAGTCGATGTGTCTTTGGGCAAGACACTGAAGCTGAAGTTGCTCCCGATGGCAGCTTTGTCCCCGTTGGTGGATGTGATCTAACTCAGATGTGCGTCACTCTGGATAAAAGCATCTGCGAAATGAAACTGTAGATGGTAGAACATGAGAGGCTTTATCAAACATCTGGAGATCTTTCCATGTTCATCTGTGTCTCGCTGGGTCTGTTTTACTGTTTTTAAGGTGCCGGTTTTTGAGCCTCAGTCAGGCCTCTGCTCAAATTCATTTATTCATTTAGAATTAAATCAGGTTTGAGTACAAACTGCAGCTTTTCCTTCTGTTTTCAAACAGAAAGGTAATGAGAAGTTCATCTGGTCTCTGAGTTGTGAAGCGCTGACTGATTACGTTTGTTGGAACCGTGAAGAGAAGTCGGGTTGATTGAAGCACATTAAAGTCATCGGGTTGGACCGGTCCAAGCCATGAGAACACGGGGGTGTTCACAGGTGGTCTGCTCCTCCACAGATAATGGATTAGTCCTGGAGAACCGCTGGTGGAGAACTTCTGATGAAAGAAACACCAGAACGATGAGAACAGAACCACCAGAACCCCTGGAGGGTTTAACATGGAGTTCATGTTGAATCAAATGAAACAAGAACCACATCGGCAGAAACGGACCCAGAACCAGAATTAACCAACAGTTTGGGTTTTTAAGGGTTTTACTAAAGTTTATAAAAATACAATCAGCGAGAAAAACCAGTAGAACACTTCGTCTGTGTTCTTTGGTTCCTGTCTGTGGTTCTGGTTCTTTGGTTCCTCTCTGCAGTGACTGTGTTGTGGTTGCAGGTCAGCGGTGTCGGTCCGGACGTGGCCCGGATGTGGGAGATGGCGATCCAACACGCTCTGATGCCGGCGGTGTCCACTGGCGTCTGTCACAGTTCCCATCGCAGCGGACACAGTAGGAACCAGAACCACGTGTTACTGTCTGCAGTCTGTCTGTCCTTTAACGGGTTGTGCTTCGTAAACTATTCAAAGTTTAATAACAGCTGAACATGTTCGCTAAAAATGTGGACAAAAACTGGACATTGGTCACTAACATTAAGTATAAACAGCTGAATGTGTTAGCTAAAGTGTGGCTAACACTTAGCTGTGAGCTAAAAACAAATATAAACAGCTAAAAGTGTGGCTAACACTTAGCTATGAGCTAAAAGTGTGGCTAACAGTTAAAATGTCAGTCATATTAAAAGCAAATATCAAACAAATGGAAATTGTTCGCTAACATTATGTATAAACAGTTGAATGTTTTTAAACCTGTCGCTAACAGTTGAGCGTGTTTGCTAAAAACAAGGATGAACAGTAGAACATTTTTAACTGTCTTATTTTATTTTTAAAAAATCAAGCTAAATTTGTGGCAACTGAAAATCTTTACAAAAGTGTTAACAGTTGAACATGTTAGCTAAAGGTATGGACAAAAATGGACAAAACTGGAAATTGTTAGCTATCATAATAGTTGAATGTGTTCGCCAAAGGTGAATAATAATGAAATATAAACAGCTGAACATACTGTCGCTAACAATCAAATCGTGGAGTTCTGGGTCTGAATATTTTAAGAGCTCACTGCAGCTGAACCAGAATAATTCAGAACGTGGATGAAGCTGTGGAACCACCTGAGAGCTGCTTCACGGAGGAATAAAAGCAGAACGCTGGACGTCTGCTGTGTTTCTGTGAATGTAAATGTGTGTTTTCTTTGTGAATTGTGCTGCAGACTCCGATCCTCTCAGGGCCGAGGACGCCCACACAAACCCATCAGAGATATTTCAGGCCTCGCTGACGTCAAGCCGATCATGACTAACGGCTCGCTGCGTCGTACTCCCGCTTCTGACTGAAATAATACAACAATGTGCTCACAGAAGGCTGCAGGCTTCAGATTTACACCATACTTGTCATTAACAGAAGCCCTGCACAGGTTAACGCCCTGACAGAGAAGCAACGGAGACACAGATGTTTGAATAACTTGAGCTGTTCTTCTGATCGGAGCTGCTCAGATTTGTCCTTCTGTCAATGAAGCCGATCGGCGTGTGCTGACTGTGTGTCTTCCTGCAGCTCTCGCTCTGATTGTGTTTGTGTCTCGTCAACAGAGGAGGTTTCCGTCAGCATCTCCGTCTCCAACTGCCAGATCCAGGAGAACGTGGTGAGAATCACACGAGCACACAGACACACTCATTGTCATGTTGTTGGCGAGCATCTCCCGTCTGGAGGGTTTTAGTTTGATTGTTGTGGTTTTTATTTGGTTTCTGACGTCACTGCAGAGACCAGCAGGATTTCTCCTTCAGGTCCAGCCTGACTCGTCCCTCTGACACGTCCGACCTCGTCACCGCTAACATGAGGAAGTCTGACAGTTAAACACGCCATCAGCTCTCTGATGGGTCGTCATGGAGCTTGGTTCAGACAAACATCTGCCACTAAACGTTTCCTGTGGTCACCGGTTCTCCTGATAAATCTGTCTATGGAACAATAACAGTTCTAGTCATGAAAACCTCTCCTTAAATAAAAAGTCTGTAAAATAACACAAAACCAAATCCAGCGTGAGCTAGAAAAGGTACAAATAGTCCTGAAAGAGCTGAAATACAAATGAAACCAACGTAAACTCAGAAAAGGCTCCAAAATAAAAGTTTGTTTCAGGACTTAAAGCGACTCGACCGAGCTGAAGGTGGAAACTGAGCCGGAGTCGGTTCAGACTGGACCGCTGTGATCACGTCCCTGGTTCTGGTTCTTACAGGTTTTATGGTTGTAGAAACAGATTTCAGGCAAAAACTGACGCGTTTATAAGAAATTCTGATCGTAATAAAAGAGGTTTTGAGTCACTGTGAATATTTTTTTTGGCATTTTGACTTTTTTTTGTCAATCTGAACAAATTCTGATGAAACTGAATAAATCTTGAGACATTTTTAATTTTTTTTTGTTGATTTGAATAATTTTAATGATTTTTTAACAAACTTTAAGTCATATAAAGATCAGTTGTAAAACATCTGATGCATCTGAACACGTTTTTGAGTCATTTTGAAGATTTTTTTTGTTGATTTGAATCATTTTTAAAGCATTTGGCCTCATTCTAAAGATTTTTTTTAGCAATTTCAACAAATTTTGGGCAAATTATGAGACATCGTTAAGAGATTCTGGCTCTATTTCACAGAACTGGGGTCATTGTTAATATTTTGAGGCATTTTGACTCATTTTAAGTACATATTGTGTCACTGTGAACAGATTTTAAGCACTTTTGAAGCTTTTGAACCAATTTCAAGGCATTTTGAATTTTTTTTTGTCTTTTTTGACAAACTTGGAGGCATTTAGTAGATTTTTTTGTCAATGTAAACACATTTTTGAGCATTTTGAACACACTTTGAGTCCTTTTTGAAGTCTCGATGCGACAGATTTGCGTCACGGCTCTGCAGCAGAACATTCAGGCGTCTGAAAACCAGAACAAAGGTTGATTCTGGTTCCTGAACTCAGGATATGATGTTCACACTTGAAAAAGCCTCCACCACAAACAGCTTGCAGCCCTCTGCCTGCTCTCCGCCACCTTCGGCTCATTTGCATGTGAAGCCTTGGGGCTGCAGAGCTTCGGGTCGCCGTGATTGAAGCTCTGCGCACATTTACATCATAAAGATTTACACGAGGCTCACATGTCTGCAAACTCTATTCATGCGAGAAAAGCAGCAGCAGCAGAGAACAGCGAGTCCCGTTTCCACGCAGACGAGCACCTTCGCCATCTCCAAGGTGAGCACGTCTTCGAGCACCTCGAACAGAGATTACTGTGATTACTCACTCAGCCAAACGGTCTCCATGGCGACGGCGGTAATTAGGCAGCGCGCTCGGCGGAGGGGGAGGAGGGTTATAATATTGTATTTCTGTCCTCTCTGCTCGAGGTGTGATATTAGGCTGTCAGCTAACGGGGAGGAGAGGGAGACGTGATTACAGACAAATGAAGGAGAAAATATTTTGCAGTTTTGGTGTCAAAGCTGTGGCAGATCGCTGACGCCGGGTAGTTACACCGAGGGAGGCGCTCAGCCGGCTGTCGGCTCACAAGCGCCGCCTGAAAGCTCCTCTGCCAGGTGATGAATTCATGCAATTCACGTTTTTGTTGAACCTGCTTTCTGGCAACCCGCCTCGCCCTCAAAGCACCGGAGAAACTCAACAACCCGCGGCCTCAAACTTCCACCGCCGCAACTTTTCAACGTGTTTCCAGTCTGAGAACATGGCTGCAGGCCTCGTTTAAACATCAGAGCATCCTGCTGGTCACAGGTTAACAGGGAAGGTTCCAGACAGCAGCAGCAGGGATTCAGGGAACAAAACTTGAAGCAAATCAAACCACAGTTCAGATAAAACAAAAGCACAACATGTGCTGCTACAGCTCACCTGGTTGACCTGCCGTCCCATGTACAGGACTACAGTCCCGATGTGGAGGTCATGAGTTCGAATCCCGCTCATGACCCTTTCCCACACGTCCTCCCACCATTCTTCTCCCCCACTATCCTGTCTCTCTCTGACTGCTCTATCCAATAAAGGCACAACGGCCAAAAAAAAAAAAAGCATGACATGAACTAGAGCTGGACATAAAGCAACACAAGACGGCTCAAAAGCTGAACGCACAGCCCGGAGGCAGGTGGACACAGGAAGAACTCGGCCCAAACAAACCCAGAAACCAAACCAGGAACCATCACAGAGTCCAGTTCTTGCATTCTGGGGAATTCTTGTGCAGCAGTTTGCTCCTTTTTTGCTTCAAATCATGCAAGAAATGTCAAAATAATGGAAAAGACAGATCTGAAGGACGATGCTGTGCCTCAGAGGACGTGCACATTCTGCAGTTCTGTGTCTCAGAGTGGTTCTGATTGCATGAAACTCGCTTCATTGTCTTTCATTTCCCGTCTCTTCTGACCTGTGCTCAGTCCCGGCTCTCAAACATGGCGCCAAACAAACCTGCACTTCCTCGTGTGTTCTTTGACGAAGCAAAATTAACGGGCAGCAAAGACGACGAGGTTCAGAGACAAAAGTCAAGACCTGATTTATGTTGAACATTTGTCCAAAATGACAGAAACCTGGTCAGAACGACTCAGAAATGGGTCCAAAATGACTTGAAATTTGCCCAAAGTGACACTAAACGTGTCCATAATGACTCTAAACGGAGCTGTTGTGTTTTCAGGACATCAACTCGGTGTACCAGATCTTCCCCGACGAGGTTCTGGGATCAGGACAGTTTGGCATCGTGTACGGAGGTAACACTCACCTGCAGTGTTCTCATTTTAATCCTGGTTTTACAAACCTGACTGGTCTCAAAAATGTCCGAAAATTATTCTTAAAAAAAGTCTTGTTTGGTCCAAAGATGTTCATTTTACTGAAACCAGCAAACATCCACTGAAGAGGCTGAAGTCACAGAGTTTAGACTCTAATTCATCAACTACCAGAAGAGTTGTGTATTAGTCTGATAGTTGTGTATTAATGTGATAGTTGTGTATTAGTGGCCACCGTTGTATGTCTATGCTGCAGATGTTTGTGTGTCTGTGTGTTACTTCCTGCAGGGAAACACAGGAAGTCCGGCAGAGACGTCGCCATCAAGATCATCGACAAGCTGAGATTCCCCACGAAACAGGAGAGTCAGCTCCGCAACGAGGTGGCAATACTGCAGGTACACAACAGACACACAACAGACACACTGCAGGTGCACTGCAGGTACACAACAGACACACAACAGACACACTGCAGGTGCACTGCAGGTACGCAACAGACACACAACAGACAGACGTGCTGCAGGTACCCAACAGACACACAACAGACACACTCCGTGTCTCCTGCAGGGAACGTCCTCATTAGTGTAGTAACTCTGTGGGGGTGTGACATGAAAACATTGCAGCTCTGCAGCAGAAACACCTGAAGGTAGAACAGGAAGTAGACAGACACACAGACACACAGACACACAGACACACAGCTGGTATCTAGGTGGTAACTGGTGGTTGTTGTGGAGACGCTGTGGTGGACCCGTCTGGTCTGAACGTTGTCCTCGTCCCTGCAGAGCCTGCACCACCCCGGGGTGGTCAACCTGGACTGCATGTTTGAGACTCCGGAGCGAGTGTTTGTGGTGATGGAGAAGCTCCATGGAGACATGCTGGAGATGATCCTGTCCAGTGAGAAGGGCCGACTGCCGGAGAGGATCACCAAGTTCCTGGTCACGCAGGTCACACGTCACGACTACAAGCTATAACCACATATAACCACTGTAACTAACTATAAACACATATAACTACTATAACTATAACCAGATATAGCCACTGACCCACAGGAGGGTTCATCATCTCTGGTTCAGACTCATTAAGCTGCCAGAACTCTTAAAGGTCCAGATTTTAGTCTCAGTGAAGCAGGACATTATTCACATCGTGGTACCGGACTTTATCCAGGTAACCAGGTAACCAGAGAGACGAAGCTGTTCAACAGACAATAAATAACCGACCCAGAGTCTGGTCATAGATACAGAGTCCTTCAGATGGCTGCTGAGCCCTCAGAACCCTCAGAACCCAACGAGACGCTTCTCATCTGAATTCTTCTGGACTGCACTGATCTCAGGGTGTTCGTGGCTCCGAGGTGTTGCTCACATCAGAGGAAACTTTAGGACCTGACCTTTCCAGGAACGTGATGAAGCGTTGGCATGAAGAAATAATTTGGACTTTCTGTCAGCTTTAAGGCGAACGCTGTCTGGTCTGCGGTCCGGTGACAGTGGAGTGAATAAAACACTCCACGAGGCACTGGACTCATGCTTCACTGTTTCTCAGTCAGACTGTTTTCAACCATCAGATTCCAAACAATCCCTCTGACACTGTTCTGGACAGAAGTCTGAACGTGTGCTGAGATGTTTAAACACAACAACGTCGTGGTGTTTAGCAGATATAAAGGCTGATATAATGAATCATAACAGATGATGGAGGACCTGCATGGACGAGATTCTTCTGAAAGAAAAACAGGCTACAGCAGGTGTAGGTAGAACCTAGAAAGACTGTTAAATGAGCTGAATTTAGCCACGAGCCCGTCAGGTTGAGACATAATGAATCAAAAGGAAAGTCACGCTCATCGCTGGCCGTTGTTTCACAGGCTCCCAACATGGAGCTGCAGCTTGTCCAGAAGTAAGGTTCTGTCCTGACTCACCTGTAGCCTCGGTCTGACTGCTGACCAGGTGTTCAGTCGTCTTCTCCGTACCGATGCTCTTCTGTGTCTGCACTGGATCCGACTCAGACGATGCTCCTGCATGCAGCAGCACATGTTCTTCATGTTCTTCCGTAGCTCAACAATACTTCACGTCTATTTTCTGATTCCATGATTGACGTTATGAGGACGAGTTCCCACAATGTGAGTTATATAAGTTCACACTGAGAGACGTCCAATGAGAAGGTCTGACGTGTCTCCTGTAAGAGCTGCACACAAGAAGAAGAAGAACAAGAAACAGACGTTTGGCTTCATGAGGCTCACACGAGGAGGCAGCTGGAGGTCCAACAGGTTCAGTCAGATAGGGTGAGGAGCTGCAGGCCCAGAGCAGCGTTTTAAATCAGTCAGTCTGTTTAAAGTCCAACATGAAGCATCTTGTAGCTCGGCACTTCTAGAACCAACATCTAGAACCTATGAACTCCAGGTACTGGTTCCTACCAATGATCCACACCAACATTTAGTCCAAACATGTAAAAACAGAACCTTGTCTGGTCCAACTTCACCACATCAGGTTCTACTGATGTTAGAGCCTCAACAGCTGGTGAAATGTGACCAGAGACTGGGTTCTAGTAGAACCATGGATCCATCCATAGACAGACTCTGACAGGAGCTCTCTGGACCAGCACCAGCCTGGTTGGAGATATTTAGCACTGATTCATTTTCAAGGATAAAAATTATGGATTTTTGTCATTTCAAACAAGTTTGAGCCAGTTTGACAAGTTTCAGCTCATTTTAAATCATTTTATTGCCGGTGACAATGAAGATGTTCTCATGGAGATGTTCTGTTTTGCAGAGGTTTCGGGTCATTGTGGACAATTGTCTGTCATTTTCAACAGATGTTACGTCAGAATAGCAAAAACCTGGATCCTTGTTTTGCCATTACAGCCAAAGATCAAGGGTCGAGGTTACTTTATTAATGTGAGGTTTTGACCATTTCCAAGGTCCAGTATTTAAAATGTGTCCTCTGCTGGATCCAATCAGTCATTCTGACCCGATAGAAACTGTTCTGTCTGTTGGAGTTTTATGTCTGGAGATAATAAACCCTGAAAATGGCCTCACAAGTAACATGTTTTATCGAAGGTGGAAATTCTCAGGTCTGAAAACATAAAATCCTCAAAGTTGAGCTAAAATATTTCCCAGAACTCTGAACTAAATCATCTTCAGCTCACCAACACAGAACGACAGAGAGATTCATGTGAACATTTCTGCTGAGCGTCTGACCGTCATCGTCCTCGGTGTCGATCTGGTTCTGGTTGGTCCGATCAGCAGCTCTGGCGGTGAATTAACGGTAGTCTCTGTTTTGTGTGCGTTCAGATCCTGGTGGCTTTACGTCATCTGCACTTCAAGAACATCGTCCACTGCGATCTGAAACCTGAGAACGTCCTGCTGGCGTCTGCAGACTCTTTTCCACAGGTACTGATGTGTGTGTGTGTGTGTGTGTGTGTGTTATAACACCTGTGTGATTGCTGTGTTCAGGTCTCTATACCATCAGTTAAAGTGGTCTGCACTCTGCTTTTCTACCTTGGTGCTACTCAAAGCGCTTCACAGTGTTTCTCATTCCCACACATCCATCCACGAGTGGCGACACAGCTGCCATGCAAGGTGCTGCCTGCCAGCGGGTTAGGGTCAGTATTTCCATAATATTAACTAGTCAGACGTTAAAAGCAGGTGGGTCGGTCTGTTTAAACTCCAACATGAAGCAGCTTGTAGCTCTGCTAATCTAGAACCAACATCTAGAACCAACATCGAGAACCAACATCTAGATCCTGTGAACTCCAGGTTCTGGTTCCTACCAATGATCCACATCAACATTTGGTCTAAACATCTAACATCAGTAGAACCTGGTGTGGTGAAGTTGGAACAGAACCTT